AGCGAGGGGGGGGGGGGGGGGTGATTAGGAGGGGATTTGGCTTTAATGTCACTTTAGTGATTTCAAATAAAATGTCTTACAATTAACACTTCACAACATAATTGGGCAACAAAAATGCACCTCTACAGATCAGTACGTTTTCAGGACAAATCTTTACAGTTTGGTTAAGTATAAGGCTGCATTCACACATGAGCGACGCCTATTAAGTGCGCTTTACGCGCGTCTTTGCAAAGGTATGAACAGGGGCCATAGAAAAGAAATGGATTCCTGGGGGGTTCAGCGTTTTGTCATGCTGATTCAGCTGCAACAATACGCCTAGGTGTATACGGGGGCCGTAGTGTATGGGAAAGGTTACATCAGGTTACCGCGCGAAAATAAGTTTAGGGTTATTTAGTATTACTTTTAAGACTACAGGTTAACAGGTAAAGCTGGACTCCAGGCACAAACAAATTACATTAAAAAAAAACTTCTCAATAACCACAAAAGGATTTAAATTCACTTTGTGTAGACGACATGCTTTTGCCAACCCACATATTTTCTTGTAAATGTATCTATGACAGCATCCCTGTGCTGTACATAGCCTGTGCAGAGAGCAGAACTGTGGGAAGGACCCAGCAGCTGCAACCACTACATGCTGCCTGCAGAAGACTACAGGACCTGGAAAAGACCAGTCACCCTGCACAAGGATAGAGAGCAGAAGTGACCAGTCTTCATTACAGGAAGCACAGAGGCAAAGTTTCCCACTGGATCACTGCACAGATCAGTAAAAAAATACACAATGCACCACAATATTTAAGTAAGAATACACATGCCTGTTGCATTTAGGCAATATGTGCTTATGCTGGAGTTTAACTTTAAAACGATGTCAGACAAAAACATACTGGTGACCCTTATAGTCACTATAACTTAGCATTAGTATGTAATAGGTGATGCTGCGTTCGTTTAAATACCCAACAAATCCAAGGTGCAAATCCTGTAAGCACCAAAATGATACTAAGGCTGTAGTCAAATTTCTTTCCAACTAAAAATGCTGTGTGTGTCTTCTTGCTTTTCCTTTGTATGATTCAGTCTGGTTCTACTGTACCTAATCAGTGCAAGTAGGAATAACCCTATTTTGTTATTGTTCATAAGTAAACCACTAAAAGTAAAATTAGGATAAATCAAATGTGTATAAAATATAACCTTCTTGACATCTAGTATAAAGCTAATGTAAGCTTCCTTAGGAACAAAAATGTTCAACCAGCAGCGAGACAAAGCAGTCTACTAGAAGATCAAGTTCAGTACAGTCATCTATAGCAGCAGGGCATACAATCATTTTGACAGACTGCCAGTCTGAACTTAAAAGTGAGTTATAAAATCTAGGTTACTCCTTCCAAGCATCACAAACTCATTGGATGGGATTTAAATGTGTTGGTCATGTTCAGAGGATTGCTTATGTGATTCCAAGGAGGTCATTTAGATATAGTGCAGTGGAAAACAGTTTGAAATTACCGTATATACTCGAGTATAAGCCGAGATTTTCAGCCCATTTTTTTGGGTGAAAAGTGCCCCCCTCGGCTTATACTCGAGTCAGCGCCAGCGCGTCTTCTTACTTACCTCGCCGAGCGTCGCGTCACTGCTGCTCGGTGTGCGGCGCTCCGAGCGGGGTCATCTGGCAGTCTCCGGGTATTAGTTTCACCTTTTAAGTTGCATTAGTGAAATAAATGAACTTTGCACGATATTCTAATTATTCGAGTTTCACCTGTATGTTGCCTGTGTTTAAAGGGCAAGTCTATCTAAATCAAAGAGCCAACAATGCTGCAGACTTCTTCAAAACTGTATCGTTTGACCACCCAGGAGGTGGGAGAGTCACAAATGCACAAACTGTTGGGAATCCCTTGCGGGATAAGAGGCAGTCTGCTCTGCATAGATATGCACTTGATTCTGTTGGCATCTGGCTTGACAATTCTTCCTTATGCTGTGCACAGAGTGCTACCAGAAACCTATAGCAATAGTGGGTAGTTTTAGAAATCATAGCAGTCTACAGATTGCAATGAAAAGATTATTTTTTTAAAATTGGATTACAAAATGGTTTGTCTTTTTTAAAGGAAAAACAGAGCTTTCTTTTAACATTCTGGGCCTAGGAGCCTGGTTTTTGTGTTAGGTTTAACGTGACTTAACACAAAGAAGCAGCTTGTTACAATGATCACAGAAAGGATAGGGCAGACAGCAAGTTAGAGTAGCACAGACTATGCGTTGTGTAACTATGCTATCTAGAACACATATATAACACTGCTGGGGTTATTAGGCTCAAATATACCTACTGTACTTTGTACCTACTTTTACTGTGTAGTCTAATACAGATGGATATCTACAACAAACCCGAGATACTCAATTGTCCAATCTGACTACAGCCTAATCAGAATTAAGCAAAAATCAATGGGCAGTTTGCACCCTCTGCACACAACCTTTAGGTGAATGCCTTCAAACCGAAACATTTGGCCAGGGTGAATTTTACAGGTCATTCACTCTCATTTCACCAAGAAACAGCAGCTGGCAGAGGTGCCTGCTTAAACCATCAGTATGCACGCTTTTTCTGCATTATTCTGCATGTTTATGCCACAATCAAAAAAGATTTATCTGAAAATGGCCATTTTATGTAGTAGTTGGCAAATTTAATGAAAAGCAGAGGTCTCCTTAATGCTGCTATAATTTGCAATATGATTCAAATGATAATGAACAGCTGTGGATGTCTGCTTGACACTTCTTTTCATTCTCTCCTTAGGGCTTGTTCACATGATTTTCTGGTGCAGATCTGGAGACGCGGTGCTATGCATGCAATGCGTTTGATGTGTTCCAGTTTAAAAAAAAAAACTGGTTGGAGTGGGGCTGTCAGTATGTTAGCTGCAGTGCAGTGCGTTTTAGGCGCGTCTTCGGTGCGTTTTTTACGCGTTCCTACATTTCTGGACTGGAAAAAATGTGACATGCAGTATTTTTTCTGTCTGGACTGGAACAGACTGCGCTTGTGAGAACTGTAGCCCATAAAACACATAGGGATACATTGGGATGCATTTTGGGTGCATGAGCACACGGATCTGGTCCGGACAGAATCCGGACGTCTTGTGAACAAGCCCTTAGTCTAGGTAAAGGATCAGCACATATTCACACAGATTTCGACAAAACCTGGAAAATCTGTATATAACCAGAATTTTTAATGATCACATGCACTTGTTTTCCAGAGGAGCTCTACACGGTATTTTATGTGTTTTGTGTATTTATACACAATGTTATCAGAGGATACTGGAAGCTGGTACCTGGGGTGGCAGAGTATTGTCAAATACTTTTTGGTTACATCTTTGTCAAAAGATGTACCCAAAAACAAAAAAAGACACAGGTACATAACTATCTCTAATTATGTTACATTTATTAAAGATTTTGTGATTTTACTTTAGTATTCCTGGTTTAATTTTCGTTTAACAGATGCTTGATTACCTTGGACCGCAGGGCCAGATTTTCCTCCTCCAGATCTCGAAGTTTGCCATGCAGGTTATCAAGCTGCAGTAGGCCATGTGTTATGGTGAACGAGTCATTGGACCGCAAAGGGGTAGAACAACTGGAGTCAGTCTCACTTTCTTCCGAAGCAATAGATACCACTCTGAGCAAGTCATCCTTCTTGGCTAACTCATGTTGGAGTTGGTTTACCTGTAAAAGAGGTAAATACATTTCCATTAGAAAAAGTCACTAGAATTGAAAAGCAAGGTGCCCATAGATTGGCAATGGATCTGGATGACAACAGTAAATTGTCATCCCTAAAATAGATTTTAGCGAAAGAATTCATGGTGTTGCCGAGATTTTCCCTGTCGATTTCCATAAGAGCAACTAGGTGTCTGCTCAGGGTATAAACATGCAAGCTCAGCTGATGTGATTGTGCAAATCTTTGCAAACATCATTCTACAGAACAAATGTTTGGCAGATCTTCCAACTGCAGCCTTGGGCCTGTGGGCACTTTAGTGAGGGGAAACAAGGGTTTACTGTCAACCAAATGGAAATTAAATAAGACATGGATCAATGCCCATTGGCCAGTGTAATGCTCAACCCCTTATATACATATATATTGATCTACAGAAATGAGAACAAAATGATAAAAGGTTGAACCATACGTTGCCTTGTACTGTATGTGATAACAAACATGATATGCATGGTTATCATGAAGTTATAAAATCTGGTCAATGAACCATGATACATGTGGAATGTAAGAATGCATTATAAAAAAGGCAGCTATGGTATGTACCCGCCTCATTTCCTATCATAGTCATGTTTACATAAGAAAACAGTAAAAAGAGATTTTAAATCTTTACATAGTCATGTTTAAGTTTGGCTGGTTATTACCACCCTCTTAACCTCTATTAGTCATACTGTGCTATCATTCAAAAGATGGCCCAAAAACTAGTCTTAAATTAAATTATGGACCCACCCTCAGCTTGGGATTGCAGTGTGACCTGAAAGATGTCAAATTGGGCAACTTTGGATAACTTATTAAAATCATTGTGGTGTAAGTTATAAGTATGATTTAAAAAAATCCAGTGCTGAAAATTTGTTTAACTAATATATTTACAATTGCTTTGTTAGACATTACATGAAACTTACATGATCCAGTGCTTGGGTCAACTGCTCTTCTAAAGTCTCATTCTGCTCTGTCAGTATATGGTTCCTTTTCAGAAGAGCCTGGCCAATGCGAGCAGCTAGTTCCAGATCCCTGTCCCTCTGGTAAAAAAAAAAAAGAATGAGAATATGTATAAAAATGGTCAAACTTGGGTAACATCAAATGATGAATGCCTAAACTGGTCAGTTACAGTTAACTTTTGCAGACACTCCGTGGCTGACTGAGATTTAAAGAAATACATTTTTCCAGTTGATGGCTATTGTTTTCCCCAGAGATGAACCTGCACTAGGCATACCCTGCTGCTCTTCCCTTGTCTTGCATGCAAACACATCTATGCTATTAACCCCTTCGTGACAGGAGACGTACACTGAACGTCCCGCCACAAAGGGACCAAATGACTAGTCACGTACACTGTACATGACAAGTTATTTGCTGCTCTAGAGGGCTGGTAACCGCTGAGAATCAGCGGTTACCATTTATTAATGGATGCCTCAGTATAGAGGCATTCATTAATGAAAGGGTTAACCTTTTTCAGACACCTGATACCTTAATATCAGGTGTCTGAGAGTCAAAGCAGAGCGGGCAAACATGCCGGCAAAAGCCGGCATTCTGACAGCTCGTATAGATCTAGAGATATCTCTCTCGGATCGTATACTGGCTTTTTTTTTTTCTTTCACTTTCAGGAATAGATACATAATGTTTCTATTCCTGAAAGAAGAATGTTTCAGTTTTCTGATCGTTGTTGGAACGTTCAAGAAAACCTTAATTAGTGACAGCTGAATCCTGAACTTCTGCAGAATCAGTGTCACTAACTTATTATTGTCTGTTCTGAAGTTTGAAACAGCCTAATAACCAAAAATCTATTAAATCTATCAAGCAGTAATAGTGAGATTAATTCACAATGACTGCTTGATATAATTCAATAAATAAAATAAACATTTTAAAAGTTTTAAAAAAAGTGAAAAAAGTGTTAAAAAAAATTAAAATAGTGAAAAGTGTAAAGAAAAAAAAAAGTGTAAAATTTTTTTTAAAAAAAGGACAAATAAATGAATGTATTTATTGCATTTTTTTTTTTTTTTTTAGCTGTGCTGGTTTTGTAAAAAATACTACAAATCAAAACTGGGAAAAAAGTGGGGTTTTTTAACGTTTTTTCCACTCTTTTTATATTTTATTTGTCCTAAGTGAGGCGTTAGACACACATATGTGATATAAATATGTAGCCCTATCTGTCCTCTAAAAAACAATATATAATATGTGTGGGTGCACTTTGTAAGAAAGTATATTACTGACGTGGAAGAATCACACAGCAAAAATGTCAAAAGTGTGTCAGTCATTTACGAACAGAAACTAAAAACAAGCTCAGTCATGAAGGGGTTATGCATGCACATTTATAAAAAAAAAAGTTTTATTAGAAACATCTTTTCATAGTAGGATCATGTCTATATATATATATATGGCCTCATTTGATACAAGTGATCGGATGAGATTTGCCCTTTTGGGAGGAAAGAAGTGCGTCTTATGGAGCGAAAAATACAGTAGTTTAGGGCTGCAACCAACTAAATCAATAATAATCGACTATGAGAATAGCGGTCAACTATTCTCATTATCGATTAGTTGGTTGTATCCCCTAGTTCTCTCCTTCACGCTGGGAGGAGGGCACAGCAAGCAGCGGGCAAGTGCAGTAGCCAGCCTGCTACTGGCTATTGCAATTTAAAATGTCCAATAGCAGACTGGCTATTGCACTAGCCCACTACCTGCTGTATTTACATTTAGCTGCCGTCTGTGGAATTTCACTACTGGCAGCTATCATTCCCTAGCTGAAGCTATTCAAGCGCCATGTGCTCACAATACAATTATTTAAAAAAAAAAAAAGGGTGGGAAAATAAGTCATTTTGGTTGCAGCCTGACAAATTCTGTTGCGGTAGGTGAGTTGCAGTGCCATGCATCTTAATGGCACCCCAAACACGCCTCCCACTCACAGTGTGATTGCCCGCACGGTACCGCAATGCCACGTGTTGTAGTGCAGAGCGATTGCAAACAAATGTGCATGGAGTTTTATTCTGAAGTAAACTTTATGTTTGTAACACTGCCTGTTGCTGGAAAAAGTACAGGAGCTTCTTTTTGGCAGATTATAGCTCCATTTGTCCCCATAGTGTCAATAGGAAACGCTTGGGAACACGTGTTGCAATTAGTTTTGAGTGTTTTGCCCACTTACATCAATGTGTCACAATCTGCTCATAAAAACACGCAACACAAAACATTGCACGCGTGTAAAAACACGCCAAAAAAAAAATGCACGTTTCTACATGCGAAAATGCTGTCTCCTAAGTGTGAATCAGGGCTTAGATCCACCAATGGATGAAGTGCAAGATCATTTAGATAGTGCTTTATATTGCATGAATTTGGTAACTCTTAATTAAATTGTACAGTCAGGTTGTATTATGTATGGGGAGCTTTACAAAAAGGGTAGGAGGAAAAGGATGGCATAATTAAGTATGTTGTTGCTCTTCCTTCACTATTCAATTGCAGGCTTAAATTGGTCCTAGAGCCCAACTGCAATGTACTCTGCAGAGAGGTCCAGGACCTGGTCTTTCAGTGTCTGAATCACAAGAGTAGTTGAACAACATTATGACCATTATAACCCTTAGCCAGGTAAAGCAGTTCTCACATATGCATTTAGCTGTTTGCCTTGAGTCTAGCTTTCACTGTCAAAACCAAAACAATGTATTAACCTTGCCAGAGGGAACTAAATTTTGACATGACTTGCAAGTGCTCTGCAAAGACCTTTGAAGGGAACTAGTCAGATTAGCAATACAGGAGTTGCCGCTGTTCTGGGTCAGTGACTCACAAAAGGATTTGGATGACAGCATTGGAATTTGCACCATTAAACACAAGTCACCAATGGCAGATCCCACACTGCTATCATGACTAGTTCTCTTAATGGCAGTGGAATAGCATGATATGAGCACAGGTACGTTATTTTTACACATTGTACTGACCCTACTTTTTCTTCACACATTGTTATTTATTACAGTTTATGTATTACTGGTAATTACAGGTTCAAAATAATATCATAAAAATATAGAACGTTCCCCTTTATAGGAATAAAAATATTTCACAATTGATCATTATGATTTATTGCAAAAAAATAAGAATGAACAGCCTTACCTCTGCCAGTAAGTGACTTAGCATATCTGTGTCATTATAACTCCTTGTCATCTGATCTATTCGTTCTGAACTAAGTACTGGAAAAATAAAGAACATACACTCATGTTAGGGACCAAGCAGATATGTAGACATACCACTGTATAAAACAGATACATTTGATTGCAGAAGTGTAATCACATATGTACTTGATAAAATATGAATATCTCCCTGTACACGGCTGTAACCTTCCTGTACACTGTGGCTGCAGATATGTCTGCCCTATCATATGTCAAGATTTTAATAGGCTTCTAAAAAGGACAGTGGATTGCCTCCAAGATGGCACAGTCATCATCTAACTTATACCAACTTCAGAGTGCTGTTTAGCAGTATTCTAGCTATGGTGACTCAGACAACCCAATTATGTAATTTGTATAGCTGGTAATGACAAAACACATATTCCAAGCAGGGTCAATCAATTCAAACAATGTGGTTTTTGTTAAAGGATCGATTCATGTTTACCTTGTGAACTCTGGCTTGATTTACAAGAATCATCAAATGACGAGGAGGGAAGTTCAACAAAAGCTTAGGAAAAAGGTAGGAAAGAGAAGAAAAGGAAATAAGAAAACAGAATGAACAGAAGATGAAAAGAAATTATATAGGACTGTGCTAGAACGCATAGGCAACATTAACAACAATCAGTTTGAGAAAGTAGAAAGCCTAATCAGTGTAATAATGGTGTACTGTATACATGCCAGACAGACTGTCTTATGTCATTTGCTAACTTTATATATTTAACATGGGTAAAATGCAACACATGCAGACAGCTTCATAAACTGCATTAACACAAGATGCTTGTCCCCTGAACCTGTCATTCATGTCTGAATGAGAAATGTTTACATGTCTACGGGTAACCAGCAACTTCTGCTGACAGAGGGACCAACTGATGTTAGGTGGGGAAAAAAATAAATCCAAAATGTCTTGGACTTCCTTCGACATGCTGTCTTGTTCAGCGATCATAACTAGCAAGAAAGGTTAAGAAGTTGGCATATCATCAGATCTGAGGTCAGTGTCTCAGAATTTATTGAAGCCAATAGAACAGCATGACAGTCAGGCAACTAACATTCTCAGAGGTCAGCAATGGGAACCTCCATATCCTCTCTGTACAGGTATAAAATATATAGTCTGCTGTTTTAACATCAGGCATGTTAGCAAGAAATAATGTTCCAAGAGCCAACTGCTGTTTGCAAAAAATGCTGCAGTGTTAAAAGTCTTTACATGGTTAGATCTCTGCATTAAATATTGTAAACTACTTCCTTTCAGTCCAATGTAGCTGCAGTACCAGAGCAAAAAGTAGAGAGATTTTACTATTAGCATTGTACAAGTGAATTAAACTGCAGCATACAAAGAAAGCTCACCTTGTAGGCTAATGGAGTTAAGAACATCCTCGTTCTGGTTAATATCCATATCACCATTGTCCATTGCTGCTGGTGCATGAAGAGCACAGCGCTCTTGTATTGTCAGACCTGCGGTGGTGTAACCACTCCAGGCTCCAACATTGTGTGACTAGAAAGGTGCTGGGTGAAACCTATGTACAGAGTCATACACACTTTCACTCTGCATTCCAGGACAATAAAAACATTAGCCCAGCCCAGCTCAGAAAATAATCAATAAAACCTGCAAGCATTTTTATTATCGGCAAACACCTGTAGATCAGCTATTGTGGAAATCACAAGCAAAACACCTGAAGATCCTACATTTGTTGATGTTTCCTGCTACAGGGTTAAATTCCTAGCATCGAGTCAGTGGCGGAACTACCGCCGGTGCAGGCGGTGCGGGCGCCCGGGGCCTCAGGCTCTGGAGGGGCCCAGCAAGTTGCCGGCCGCCGGATCGTTATCCAGCGCGCGGCGGGCCCCTGGTCTCTCCGCCGGGAGTGTCAAAACATTGGGTGGAGAGATAAAAAAATTTTACTTTAAATGTCACTTTAACCACTTCCAGGCCGCAGTACGTCTATAGACGGTGGCCCACAGAAGTGGTTAAAACAAGAACACGGCTGCTCTTGGTACCGCTTTTAACAGCAGGCGATTGCTGTATGACTTACAAGCAATCGCCTGCTGAGGACTACAAATCTCAGCAGTACTTTATACAGAAATGCTATTGTTATATAAAGTATTGCTGGGATGTGTAGTCCTCTATAGCCTGTGCCATTCTGTATTGCTGTAAATATTAGGGCTGCACCATATATTGGCCGCCAAAACATATTGGCCGAAAATGGCACTTTTGGCATAATGCCGAAAGTGCCATTTTTCTGCTGATACAGCGGTGCATCCGTGCTTTCTTTTTCCCCCGCTGGATGCTGCTCCGTCTCCCAGCGCGGAGGAGAGAAAGTGACAGCCGGCCGAGCCCTGCGGAAGGAGAACGCTGTGTTTGTGGGGTTTTTTTTGGGGGGGGAGGGGAGGGGGTGGGGGGCCCAAAAAAAAAAATCTTGCACCAGGGCCCTTTGTTCCTTAGCTCCGCCACTGCATCGAGTTATGCTGTATAATAATGTCAGGCACTGGGAACTTGATGTTTGACATTCTGAAGACAAAGACAAAGCTAAAAAATCACTTTAAGCACCCATGCCCCAAAAGGGAACAAATGGAAAATTCTAAACCACATGGTTCTATTGGTCTGAACACACCACCACTGAGGACTATAGAAAACACTGGTGCCGATAATATTTAGGATATTCGTACACCTTTAATGGCATCTCGCAGACGCAGCCTTTCCCATTCCCCATTCTTTTCCCCTTTCCCTCTCCTTGTCTTCCAGATTCATCCTCAAATTTATTACCGTAGCCATCACTCCCCCCATACTGCATAAGCCTCTAAGAATATCCATTTAACTCCCCCTCTCCAAAATACACACATATATTTTTCTCTCCCCCTGCTTTTTATCAATTTCCGACGGGTGCTTCTGCTAGCCTCAAAATATTAAAATCCTTTCTGGAACTGCCTCAGGCATACGCACAGCTTCCCCAAGTTCCTTACCCTCAGCTATTACTCCTTAGCCTTCCTTTCCCTGATAAAAATTGACTACTTTAGAAAGAATGGCTTTCATGCCCTAAGTGCCCAAAGTGCATACTTCTCTGTCTCATGGAGAAAAAAAAAACAAGAAAAAAAAACACAAATATGTTGCTGCAAGGCAAAAGTGCAAACCACTAAACCACTGGCCCAACCAATAAAGATGGCCGAAGATCTCGAACCCAGGGGGATTAACTTTTCCCTTCCCTTTCACCGACCCCATAAAATAGCCTTTAGCAGCCTCCTAACACTCAAAGTTCTCAATCATTAGTGGTCGATGGCATAATAAAACCCCTCACCCCAATTATTGGTGGTCAGTGGCAACTACCCCAACTTCCTGGTTGCGGGGGGAGGATATGGATGGCAGATGAGCAATAGGCTCCTTCTGCCATCAATCAAACTATTGGGCGGAGAGGAGGGGCGTTGCCTGCCACAGGGCTGTGTGCATCTATGGACGCACACAGCTTTGACGGGCACGAACGTGCATGGGTGTCTCCATTTGCCGATGGAGGCACGGGCGAGCATTGCGGGGACCCAATTGAAATGGAGGAATTGAAAAAATTTTAAAGACAAATGGCAACAGTCTTAGACAAAAGGTGGGCCACCTTGTAGCAAATATTTTCTCTCCCCCTGCTTTTTATCAATTTCCGACGGTTTTTCTAAAACAATGCAGACTAATGATTTCAGGATAGTGGTGGAGCACCAGAGCTAGGTCCCAGCTGCAATCCTCGTGAAAATGCCAAGTATCGGCACTGGTATCTGAACATTCCTAATGTAAAGATATGTTAAATTCCTGCTTTTAATTTCTAGCGTTATTTCGCTTTTTCTACACTGACACAAGTGTACTTAAATAGAGACCATTAAGACTTTGTTGGGAATCTGTATACAGTGTAATGCTTACTCATGTAACGGAAAGTCTCTTCAGCCAATACAGGAGAAAGATTGCCCAAGCCATTGCTTTGCTTGGTTGGGGATTGGATCCAGTCTTGGTGGTCATAGAGGTACAAGGAGTCCACTCTTAACTTGTACTGGGGTAGCTGATCCTCTAACATGTTTACCAGTTCCATTTCAGGGGCATCTTGGCTGTGATAAACCTCTAGGGAAGGAGTAGGTGAAGAAAAGTTAGCTACAGTGACAATGGTTCTCTATATTTTAAAATCATTTTTACAATACTTTCTGCCACGCAAAAATTTCCTGCATAACACCAACTAGATTACTGGAACAGTCTTGAGTAAACAGCTAAATGCATTCTGCAACTAAAGCCCATCTTTCACTTATCAAACAAACTCAGTCTAACACTGGGGTCGGATTGTAAAGCAGGCTGTAAAACAGCAGCCCGCTCTCTGTGATTCTGTGTAACAAGAACACTGGCTCTGGCTTTGCACACAATACACTGTCCGGGAGGGGGGGGGGGGGGGCA